ATTCTTTACCACCAGTTCCCCAGTTGATATTTTCCCAAGTTCGTGAGAAATTCATTTAGCAATAAGAAGCAAAGTATTTTAAAGTCAGGATAGATCATATTCATTGTTCCTCCCTCAATTGACAATGCTTTTCACCCTGTTAGATAAGATTAGATGAGTCTAACAGACCTTATTCTGTATCGAGCTATGATGATTGTTAGCCAATACTCAATTCTCTTCAAGGTATTCAAGGGGATATATTCATGTGATGATTAGGGGATGGGACTGCAATTTTCCTGGGTCATTCTTTTTCTCATTCCTTTAATACATAAATATTTCTTTCCATTATAAAATTACTACATGAATATAAACTATTGTTAAAAATAAACCCAAGTAAAGTATGCAAAACTGTAAGAGTTCTTAATTTTCTACCATCCCACATACTTTCTCTAAACCAAGGGTATAATCTGCTACATATTTTCCAAATATTTTCTTAATATATTTACATAAACATAAGGCATATATTTTATGCAATTTTTATTTTATAAATATATGCACATATGGTATAAAATATGTATTATATGCATGTAAATATAAATTCTTATATTTATTCTGTTTGGGCAATTTTTTACATAAATGGGATCATACTGTACACATCATTTTGTGCCCTGTTTTCAGTTTAGCTTATCTTAGAGATCTTTCCATATTTTTTAGCTTACAAATCCAAATTTTGCATGGCTGTTGTTAGTTCTTTTTACTTTTTTATTATTATATTTTTTACTTTAGAGATGGTGAGCATTGAGTGGAGGAGAAAGGCAGAAGGAGAGAGACAGAGAGGGGGAGGGAGAGAGAGAGAAAGCAAGAGAGAGGGAGAGAGAGAGAGGGAGAGAGAATCTTTTTTTTTTTTTTAATTTTTTTTTCAACGTTTTTATTTATTTTTGGGACAGAGAGAGACAGAGCATGAACGGGGGAGGGGCAGAGAGAGAGGGAGACACAGAATCAGAAACAGGCTCCAGGCTCCAAACCATCAGCCTGACGCGGGGCTCGAACTCACGGACCGCCGAGATCGTGACCTAGCTGAAGTCGGACGCTTAACCGACTGCTCCACCCAGGCGCCCCAAGGGAGAGAGAATCTTAAGCAGGCTCCATGCTCAGTGCAGAGCCTGATGCGGGGCTCATTCCCATGACCCCGCGATCATGACTTGAGGCAAAATCAACAGATGCTCAATCAACTGAGCCACCCAGGCTCTCTGGTTGTTGTTAGTTCTTATCCTCAAACACTCTAGGTAGTATTTTTTAACTTTCTTATAAAATTTCAAAATAAATGAATCCTTTCTTTCAGTGCCAGGAAAATGTGTAATGTAGATTTTTCCATTGTAATGTATTTTAATTAAAAGCATTATAGCCAAGTATTCATTGAATTTAATATGATTTTTCATCTTTCCTAAAATGTTTAAGCCTCCTATAAACTTGTTTTAATAAAAAATATATGTATGTACATAAAGAATGTATAAATTTAGTAATCAAGGTCTAAAATTAGTAAAAACTAAAATTTATTCTTATAAAAAGAGAAAGCAATATAACATAGCAAATTTGCCTAGTCATTACAAAATTAAACACATACACACATAATTCATTTTCTAAATCAATGAGGTAGAATGAGCAAAAACAGTGAAGCTGCTGAAGAAATGTTTTTAAAGAATTCTTAAGTTTTCAAAGAAAAAAATTTAAATACTTTACCAACATACTTAGAACATAGAAACCACAAACAGCAGAGCAGCAGACCAGAAAAGCAACATAAGATTAAATTAAAATCTGTACTATGCGGGTCTAGTCTCCTCACATACACAAAACACTGGAGTAATATGACTGTTACTTTTGTTTTCTATTACGCAACATATCGCTACTTTCTTCAAACTGGAAACCTGAGTTGAATCAATTAGCTAACAAACATCTACTATCAAATTTATTAATTAAAAAAAAAAACAACTAAAAACTAAACTGGCCATTTAAATAAGATATACAATAATATAAGCTGTTTGGTTTCATTATCAAAAGAAACTGCTAAAGAAAATGCTTTACTACTGGTAGAAAATAAACTTCATCTTTAGACTTCTATGAAAGAATTAATGCTAATACCATCTAAAATGAAAAAAAGTATTCACAAGGAATGGCATAATTTAGGAAGGCCTATGGCTACACAAAATCATTGCCATCATTAGTGGTGATATTTGTAGCTGGTATAAGCTTTCTGATATATAGTGAACTGAACACTGCAGCTTTAATTGAAGTTTGAATGTTATAAACAGTTAGATGTCTGGCTCTGGCCTGCATTCTAATACCATCAGCAGAACAGAGATGGGAAGTATAAACAAACCTTTTAACTAGATTACAGTCTCTAAAATGGCCAAGAAATCCTTCAGCAAAAACTCGTGTGACAAATGTGGAAGAAGGAAAATGATTTTGGAATAATGCTAAAAAATAGCCTCTATAGTTCTGTCATTACTGCAACATGTATTTGACTTTCTAAATATTTTGATGTTGTTTAATATTCATTCATTAATGATACACTTTACATTTGACTTTCCAAATAAATAAAAATCCTTTCTAACTTACATAGCTGCTGTTTTTTAGATCAGTAATCCCAAGTAAGGAAAGTTATTTAAAAATCAATACGTTTCTTTTGTTGGATGTGGAATACTTCCCTCCTCCAACATTAGTGACTGTATATATACAGCCAAGATTATTATTTTTAGATAGTAGTAACATTAAGATTGTATAAACTAAGTTAATTAATGGTCAACAGATCAGTAGAACATGTCTGGACTCAACGTATATAGAAAAAGATGGCTTTGGATGCAAGGATAAATCTAATTTTGCATTCAGTCAACCTGAAGAAACAAACTTCCATGAGTTAGACACTAAATTAAAAAAAAAAAAAAGGGGGGCAGCACAAGAATGTAAATTTTAACACTAGCCCCATACAGAAATGTTTCCTCTCATTGCCTGAATGTTGGTTGGTTGGCAAAGAACTCAGTGAAGCATGGATGTGCAAAAATTTTTCACCACTGCAAGGCTGGTGACTGATTTATGTAACTCATTTTAGTCCTTTAACATAATATGTTCTAATAAATTATTCAATGACACAAAATTTAATTACAAGTTCTCTAAGAAAAGGTTATATAGGTCAACTGAAATAGGACTCAAGTTAGAATTAGTCACCTACAACTTTGAATGAAGTGTATGCTTTACACCAGTATGATGTCATTAGTGATTTTCTTTTCCATTATGTCCAACTACATTAGAAGATATGTCTTTAATAGATGTTAAGCCTGGTTCTCACCTTGTCTTTCTGAAAAATTCTGAGTCATTCCAACTTCTGAAATTTTACATGATATAGAAGTACCTCAAACAGAAACAATGACAAGTAAGAATCTTTACTTTTAATCTTTATATTTAGGTATTACCTTTGGGTAATATAGGTACCTTTGGGTACCTATATTTAGGTATTACCTCTTAAGAATTACCTTTGGGTTATCTAAGGAAATTACTGGAGACCAATGACTTATTCTATCCGACCAATTACTTAGATTGTTCTTAAAAACAATAAAACTAATTTGGTATAAAATTTCCTTTCTGAAGTATAATAGATAACAGAGAATAGTTCCTCAGCATTTAAAATATTTTGAAATTCTACAGGACATAATGCATTGGCATAATTGCTTATAGAATGATATCAGCGACTTATGCATATAGGATGAATGTGTATCTACTTAGGATAAATATGAAAAATTACTTGATTAGTAATTTTTACAAATTACTCTTTTCTCCTAGAAGCAAAGAATGTAAAAATCAACTCTAGTTAGCTAGATCAAAAAGTATTTTAATTCAGTAGCTGCTTTAAAGAATAATAATTTAGGAATCTGGAGAAACCAACAAGTTGTCCATTCTTATACTAAAAATATTTCTGACTTTAATAGTACTAAAAAGAATACATTAAACTTAATTCTATATGTGTAATGTGGTATTTATGAAAATCTTTTAAGATACAGGATCCAGAAGATATGTGTATATAAACACTCAAGCATTAGACAATATAAAGTCTCCTCTATTTCGAGGTTTTCCATTATCAACATTTACATTAAAATGTTTATAGTAAACATTCACTGGGTCACAAATTGTTGGAACTTTCAAACTTCATGTAACAAAATGCTAAATGTAACTCATGCAAGAGAAAGGAAGTTCAATATGTAGAAAGCCTAAATGTAATTTTTGCCATACAAAGAGAAGATTGACTTTATGTTTACAGCTGACCCTTGAACAATGAGAGTGCTGACCTCTGCGCAGTTGAAAATCCAGTATAATTTCTATCTCCCCTAAAAGTTAACTACCAAAAGCCTACTGTTGACCAGAAGCCTTAACCAATAACATAAACAGTCAATTAACACACATTTTGTATGTTACATGTATTATATATTGTATTCTTATAATAAAGCTAGAGGAAAAAAGTTAAGAAAATCATAAGGAAGAAAAAAATACTTACAGTGCTATAAAAAATTTGCATATAAGTGGACGAACAGTTCAAACCTGTGTTGTTCAAGGGTCAAGTGTATTTTACTTCAAGTTGCACACTGATCTGTATCTATGCTCCTTATAAAGAATTGGATTTTTTTAATTGTTTTTCTGTCCTTGTAAACTTTTAGAAATTTTCCATCACTCCATCAATAAGCTACTGGGGCAATGATTTTACTGATGTTTACCAGAGAAATCACTGACTGATAAAAGTTACTGTGTCTGTATTCTAAATTAAAAAGTTATGAATTTACTGTGATTGAATATTTTGCTGCTATATGTAAAATGCTGTTTTGTCAGTAATGGGTTTCCCCATTTGTAACATGGGAACAATGTTCAAAATTCACAGGATGAGTGTTTTGTTAGATTTGTCACAGTATTAGATACTTATAATAAATGGTAATTATGATTAGTACTAAAATAAAAGTTAAGAATGACTTTGAATCAGATTGACCTTCAGGAATCTATTTACCTGCACAAGATACTGTACCAGCAAGGGAGCCCAAGCTCCTCCTCCTTCCAAATTGTGAATCAATATTACTCTAAGAGGTACAGTTGAAGAAGGACAAAGAAAATCCAGGAAATCTCTCTCTAATCTTTAAATTACATACGAAAGCCATGATAGGAACCAAGATAGTATTCTTTGGTTTTGAAACATCCATTAACTAAGAAATTAATAACTCATTTTACTGAAGTTACATAACATAGGATTAATAATTGCAACTAACCAATTTAGAGGTAGAACTGGGAAGTTTCTAATGAGGATCTCGGAGGAATTTATCTAGTACACAATAAAAATTCCAAAACTCCTGAACAGTATATACCATAATTATTCCATGATAAATAAATTATACTGTTAGCTTAAACTACAGAAAATAACTAAATGATCAAAATGAAAATGATGTACCATGTATTCCAATGAACCATGAAAGATAACCTGGTATATGAAATGTAAGAAGAGAAGTTACTTTTGAGAAAAAAAAGTTTAAGTTTGGAGAGTTTGGGGTTTGTTTTTTGTTTTGGAATAATTTTATAAGAGATACTTCAATAAACAATGTTGATAATCTTCAAATAAAAGTATGTATCAATAAAATACTAGTAATGATGGTCACATAGACTATTTTTATGGTCTAAAATTAGTGAATTATATACAGAATAGAGAGCCCCAGAATACAGTATTAAGTGGAAAATTTTTCATTATATATTTCTATCTTAATAAAATACAGCAAAATCCTTCTTAAACATGCATTTTTCCACCTAACAGTATCCATTTATTTAGTTAATATAAAATTTATTTAGAAACATCAAAATAAAGTTATGACCAATATACTTGTGGAATACAATTAAAATACCTCTTCACATTAAACTGTAGGGACCATCCTTGTTTCTCAGATGCCTAGCACAGTGCCTGACAGACAGTAGATGCTCAAAAGATGTTTAATGAATACCTAAGTACAATCTGTTTTGCACATACATTCAAAATCCAGACAAGTTTGCAAAGGTACATAAGTTGGACATAGGCTTTCTGGCTGACTTCATGGGGTCCCACTGATGACTAGGAGTAAATCTTCATATCCATAGAAAACTGGAAAGTTGATAAGTGTCTGGGTAAGGACCAAAAAAACAAAGTCAGGGAAACATGTCACCTAAGTAACAGTTGCTTTATAGAGCTGGTAAAAGTGGCCTAATCATTCTAGTAACCTATCGCGCTAGTCTCTCAATGAAATGAAATTTAAGTGTATCTTGAATATTTGCTAGGATATTTTTAATAGGAATTTTTTGAAATCTCTCACTAAAAATAAATTACTTTTGTCAAATTGTATCCTGTACAGGATTAGAGGGAATATGTTTTTACTTTCTATGAGTACTATATTATTAACAGGATTTAATTTGGCTAATAGAAAAAGTGACAGCTACAGTAAAAATAAAGAAAAAAAAATTCATAGTAATGAAGAAATTGTAGCAGGGAGGAGAGGAAAGGAAAAAGGAAGAAAGGAAAGGAACCCCACATATGGGAGTAAAGAAATTCAAATATGCCTAACTCTAATACCAATTATGGCAATTAATCAGTAGGGCCTACTGTGCACCGGACACTGTACCGTGAGGGATGTCAATCTTAAGATACAAATCTTTAGTCTTAAGTGGTTCACAAAGCAAGACTAGCAGGTAAATGTTTATAATACAATATGGGTCATTATTATATATATGTCTCTAATCCAAGCGTAAAAAGCATATTTACTGATTAATTAGAAGTGCAGAGAAAACATAAGCATCAAGGGAAACAAATAATTCTCAAAATAGTAACTATCCACAATGAGAGAAATCAGTACCTTCTAAATCAACAAATTATTGAATTATAAATAGACAAAATTTTGGCTTAAAGCTATTTACCTAAATATTCTTAGGAAAATACGCCTCCACATAAAATCCTTAAGTGCTATAGACAAAATTGTGAATGACAGTTTCATTTCCAACAAAAGAAAATGAGGTCGTGTAGCACAGGAAATGTTAAGAGACCTAAGTTCTCTGGTCCATGCTCTGCCCACTTACAGGCCTTGGAACCTAGGTAAGTTCCACAAACTCTCTGAACTTCAGCAAAATGGAAAACGAAGAGTTGGATAAAGTGACCTCCAAGATGTCACTTAGATGAAAATTACAATCTTAAATTATGTCTTAATATTTAAAAAATAAGCTAGAATAAAAAAGGTTTTTTAAACATAAATCATTATCCAACTCAGAGGAAGTCTGGAAATCTCAAATTATACAGGGTTAGCCAGGGAGTGGTGAGATAAAGGAATGTTTTCAAAAGAAAAGCAGACATATATTAAGTAAAGGTATTATACTCAAGACTGTAAATTTTCACTCAGCTGCCGACGGGGCAACCACCATCCAATTATCTGCACAATTCGCCTTATTTAAAATTGATTTCTTCACTAAGTTCTACTTTCTCCCTCTTATGTTAAGGTTGCTGAGGTATTAGAGTGAGGACAAGAAATCCTAGGTGGACCTGGAATATTAGTATTGATGTTGGGAGAAAAACTTGAACTTGACACAGATTTCTGCTGAAATGCACCAATTACACCTTAGAGAAAGGTAAGAAATTGTTCAAATTTATAACAGAAAGGAAGGAAATAAGGCCATATTGTTTATTGCTACAGAGCTTTTTTCCTGTGTCTAAATGTCTACTCTTGTACACATTAATGAAAATTTACAGAACAAGTTTCTACATTTGCAATGCTTTTCTGCCACTAAAATATAAGCTTATTATATTTTGGCTTTGCCATAAAAAAATAAAAATTAAAAGTATTATCCTGTTTTATAATATTTATGTCAAATATCCATCTAGATTTATTTTTCTTCAATCCTTTCTATTTGATCAAATTGCTGTTTTCATATTATCAGTCTGATCATAAAATTGCTGTTTTACAGAAGAATATTTTTTGCTGACATAAATTACGGGATCAGAGATACCAATGCAGTTACAAAAAAGGGTGTGTGTATGTGTGTGTGTGTGTGTGTGTGTGTGTGTGTGTGTGACAGAGAGAGAGAGAGAGAGAGAGAGAGAGAGAGAGAGTGTGTGTGTGTGTGTGTGAGAGAGAGAGAGAGAGAATATATGAATGTGTGCATCCATCTTCAAGGAAAGGATAAAGAAATGTATGTATGAAACAAAATAACACTTTCCAATGTAAGCTCTAGTAAAAGGCCTATATTGGAAACATACTTTCTAGCATTTGTGAAATAAAATACAGCACTGAAATCGAAAGCCACAGTGATTTTTATGAAGACTGTTATTCTATAAACCTAAACCTGAATTTATCTTTCAATTTATGTCTAAACTACAGTGAATATACTAACTACAACTTCATGATTTGACTCATGAAAATATATTTTTGAAATTTGTCTCCTTTCACATATAGTGAGCAATTTGGTTCAGTACCCCAAGAGATGAAAAACTCATCTCAATTTACAACAGTAAATAAATAATTCAGTTAAAATTGAAAGTGGTACCAATCCAGCAAACTATTGATGGAGAGGTTTGGCCTTCCATGAAGCCAGAACAACATAAAGTTTTCAATGGGGATTACTTGTTCAGACAAGTTACAAAGATAAGAAAAATATCCAGATTAATTACAAAATAGCTAACATTCTCATCTTGTGGAAAATATCAAGAACCTATGTAAGGAGAGACAATACTAGTGGTATTGAAACTTTAAGCATTTTAAGCTTTGAACTTTATATGCTAATATATGAAACAAACATTTAACAAAAAAGGCTGTAATACAAGTCAAAACCTAACCAAAGGCCTCTATCAACTAAAAATTTGAAATCTCCCATGCAAGTCAGACACAACAAAAAAAAAAAAAGAAAAAAAAGAAAGAAAGAAAAAGAAAAAGAAAAAGAAAGAAAGAAAGAAAAATTAAACCCAGAAAGCAAAAACCAATCAAGTCTGTTCCAACACTGAAGTCAATTTCCAAATCACATACAGAACCAAAAAGGGGAAAACACTCAGGTCTACAAATGGATAAGCAGTTCCAATACAATCCAGATCCCGACATTTTCCCACTCAGAAACAAATGCAGTGGAGCTTTTCCTGGGGAAAAAGGAAAAAAGCTCTCCAAATGAATTTTTTCAAGTGACATCTAGAAAGTGTGCCTCTTTCTGTCTCTTTCCCTGGCGCCTCATTGGAGGAAGGAGGGGGTTGTTTTTGTATTTTCCCCCATTGGAGCAAGACACAATCAGATGTTAGCTGGAGAAGAGAAACCACTTTTGACAACAGCAAATAAAAATAAAAGTGCCCTTCCTCCTCTGACAGGATGGGCACCCACCTCACACACCCCTCCCCACTCCAACCCCCCCTCCCCCCCCCCCCCCCCCCAGCACCACCCCCTCCTCACCCCGGAGCTCCACTGCGTATGTGGTTTGGTGCTACTGTTGCCCCGGAGTTAAAGTCAGAGCCAGAGGAAGGCAATGAAGCCCCCACAGACACACTTACCTTTCCTGCCCCCCACTTTTGAGTGCCTTCCCTGGAGCTGTGGAGGATGACACAAAGGGTAATAAAGGGGGGGGAGTGGAGGAGGAGGAGGCGAAGGAGGAGGAGAGCTGGGGAAGTGGCTGCTCCTGGGTGTAGTGAGATGTCTCCAGCCAGGGCCAAGCAGCAGCAGCAGTAGCAGCAGCAGCAGCAGCAGCAGAGAAGGGTCTGTGTTGCTAAGAGGCTTTTGGTCTCTTTCTCTCCTCCTCTCACGGCCAAAGAGGAGGGTGGAGGGGGCTCGGGAGGGAGGCTAGTGGAGGGGTGAGGGGGTAGGAGTCGTGGATGGGGGTTTTCGAAGAAGAAGAAACTCCTTCTTCTTCTCTCTCAGGCTCAATCCCCCTCTCAGGTCTCAGGGCTGGAGGGTGGGGGAAGGAACTCAGCCGCCTTCCCCCCACCCCCCTCAATTCAAGGTTGAAGTGGGGTAAAATTAGTGTCCTGTCCCTTTAAAAATAGAAATAAAAGGTGCCCCCCCTCTGCCACTGCCTCTCTCTTCATCATCAGCTGCTGCTGCTGCTGGGGTCTCTCTGCTGGGGGGGGGAGGGGGGGTTCGGGTAGAAGAGACGGGAGGCACTCACTGCGCATGTCTCTCTCTGACGGGAGGCTGGTTGGTTGAAGGCAAGAGGAGGGGGAGGGGAGGAAATGATCTGGTTTCCCAGAAGGCTCCGAGGCACTTGCGACCCGGAAGACATTGTAGCAGGGGGTAGAGGGGCGGGGGCGGGGAGTAGGAGGAAGTCGCTACTCTTTAACAACCCCGTGACCCCTCCTACCTCCTAAGGGAAAGTGGAGGAACGGAAGTGGGCGTGGACGGAGACTAATGTAGGTCACGTGTTTGGGCGGGAGTGGGGCGGGGTGGGAGACGCGCTGCGTGCGCGGGGAATGCCGGGAGTATTGGTGTACTGTTGGCAGTGGCAGGTGAAGCTGAGCTGACTACGCGGCCCGGGGCGCTTGTGAAGCGGTTCCTGTGGTGGCTAGATTGCTGCTCTGCCGTGGTAAGGGCGTCTTTTCTGTGAGAGGTAATATGGGCTAGGCTGGCCTCGAAACGAAGGCCTAAGGTCGCCAGTGGTGAAAGGCGAATCGAAAAGAATGAGGACGGAAGGTTGTGGAGACTCAGAATGCGGGAAGGGGGCAGGCTTGTCTAGGCCAGGCAGGCCAGAAATCTGGAAGGCCACTTCTGTCTCGTGGCTTTCCTGTGAGGCTGCCTACAAATCTCTGAAGCTTGTAGGGATTCCTCCTGAAACTAGGTCTCTGGCTGGGTGTTGACTACACCCGATGGTGGTTGTAAGGAATGTGGTGATACTGCTGTCAGAGAGAAATGGAATCTTTGGAGCCTATGCAGATGACTGTTGACTGCTTCAGAGCAGGGGAAGAGAGAAGCGCCATGTGTGAATTTTGACAACTCTGGCATTAGATGCGTTGCTTGTATTAGGTATTATGACCATTATTCCTTACTTCGCTACCCTCCTTGGAATTCTGGAGTGGTTTTTGGGGAGGGAGCAAGCTTGGGAAGTCTTGAATGGAATTTCCTCTTTATAGCTTGGCGTTGTTGCTGCAACAAAACGCTTATGCTTGCTCTCAGAAAGCGATATGGGATTGTGTAGTCCTCGATATGGAGGAATGTAACGGTTGATAGAGAAGAGACATCACAAATTTTTCCTTTTCTATGGTGTAGATAAGTGATTTTTAAATGAATATTTTGCTTTAAGTTTTTTTGGTTACTAGTCTCGGATTTAGATCCTTTGGTTTCTCAATTAAATGCTACCTATTTTTGCTGGAAATGTTTCCCTCATAAGATAATAATTCAGACTATTAAAGGATTCGTGTATTTACATCATTAAGGCTTTTTTTCAGTAAAGTCACACCATTTTTCACATCATTTCATAAATCTTAACTAGAACCATTTCAATCTTTAATTTCTTTTGTAAAAGTACTTTGAAAGATTATCATTCTGTATACTTTCTTTTAAGGCCAATAATCTAAAATTCCTCATGTTTGTTCCTCACACAGGTATTTAATTCTGTAATAATTATTCTTTAGGATACACTATCAATTAAAGTTGTTACTTGTTTTCTACATTTTACTTACGCTTTGGCAATTAACCCTATTTATGCATCATTGCCTAGTACTTAACTGCTTTCTTTGTGTGCAGTAATCTTGTCGAGTGGAATCAAAACTAGAGTCCTGTGCCTTAAAGTGTTGTTTATATTGTAACCAAATATATATCATTTTATAAAAGAAAAAAAGTCACAGCAAAGTAATAGAAGTGCTTTAGGTAACAAATTTTAATTTCTTACGTTAAAATACTCACTATGCAAAAAAATGCACAGATCATAGGTATACAATACGATGAGTAATTATTAAGTGAACACTGAGTGATCACTACCACAGTCAAGAACTAGAACGTTCCTAGTACTGGAGACCTACTCCTCCCCCCATCAATTCCTGAATATTCCTCCTGCCTCACCACTACAAGAGGTTAACAGCAACCGGATTTTTATGGTAATTATTTTCTACATTTATTTTAAGTATTTTTTAACCACCAGTGTTGGCATTACTACCCGATTCAGATGAATTGTATCTGTATTTTACCTGTATGTAAAAAGAGTTACACGTTATGTGTTATTTTTCTCACGTGTCACCAATATTTAACCCAATTAGTACATTTAGCTATTGTTCATGTTTTTTCATTTTATATAGTAATGTCTATAGTGTGATGTAGTCTTTTTCTGAATAAACCACAATTAATGTAACTCCTCATTAATAGGCATTTGGATCGTGTCCAGTTTTTAGCAGTTACGAGCAATGCTACTGTGAATGTTCTTGTGCATGTATTTTTCCACGCATAGTATGCATTTTTGTAGAATGGAGATTATGCCAAACTTTTCCAAAATAGATCAATTTAAACTCCCACCAGCAGTATATGGTAGATGCTTTTTTTCTACAGTCTCACTAACAGTTGATGTCTTTTGTTGATGCCAACATGATGAGTGTGGCTTTATGTTTTTACAGTTCCCTGGTTATTAATGACTTTGAGCAATTTGTAAAATATTTGTAGGCTGTTTGGATTTCTTATTTGAATTGTCACAATGTTTCTATTGGGTAGTCTGTGTTTTACTTAAATATTTGACTAGTATCGCAAATATCTTCTCTATAATTGGAGCATTTCTCGCTTCCTGGATGATTTTTATCTTCATTTCATTCCTTACTGGTTTATATGCTAATTCCTATTGTTTTAAATTTATTTGTAACTTTAACTCGAAGAAGTTCTATACTTGTGCTACCCAATACTGTAGCCAGCTTGTGGCTGGCTATGGACCACTTGAAATCTGGCTAAAAGTGTTACTGAGGAACTGAATTTTTAGTTTTATGAAGTGTTAATTTAAATTTGAAAATTGATACTTGATTCAGTTGTTGAAAAATGCTTAAGTATGTTTGGAACAACTTGGGTATGTAAATGAATTTTCTCAACTGTTTTTGCATCTCTGAATTCTCTTTGAGGATCTTTTTCCTTTTGCTTTTAGTACACTGTTTAGAATCTTTTTTTTTTTTTTTTAATTTATATTTTGAGAGTCAGAGACAGAGGGTGAACTGGGGGGTGAGTGGGGGCAGCAAGAGCTACAGAGACGCAGAATCCTACACAGGTTCCAGGCTTGGGGCTGTCAGCACAGAGCACGACACAGGGCTCGAACTCATGGACCACGACATCATGACCTGAGCCAGTCTGACGCTTAACCCACTGAACCATCCAGAGCCCCTAGAATATTTTTAATTCAGGTGTACTGATGGCCAATTACCTTAATTTTTTTGCTTACCTTCCAAGTGTCTTTTTTCACCTTCAATCTTGAAGAAAGTTTTGGGTCTTTTAAATTGTAGAATTGTGGTGGTTTTTCAGAATCTTGAAGATAATGTTCCATTGTGGGTTTTTGTTTTTGCTTTTTTTTTTTTTTTTTTGATTGTTGATTTTGAGAAGTCACCTGTCAGTCTAATACTGGCTGATTTGGAAGAAATCTTTAAAGAATGTTTCTTTGTCTTAAGTTTTCTTCTATTTCTTTATGGCATTTTGTGTAGAATTTTTTTTTCCTGTTTTGAATTAATTGAAATTCTTGAATCTGTGGGTCAGTGTCTTTTTAAGAAGTAAATCACCTATATCTATTCTTACTGTTTCTAGCTACTTACTAAAAATTTCTGTGGCTTTTATTGGCACAGTATTCATAATTGTTGTTTGTGACCAGTAATTCCAATTTCTTAATTTGTAATGGGTCTGTTTTTGCTGGTTTATGATTTTTCTTGGTTTCATGGTTTTTCATGTGTGCCTGTGTGCCAGTTGTTGGATTTGAAAAATTATAAGAATATGTGAGTCCTAGGATAATGATATCTTTTTCAAGAAGCCATGTTTTCCTAGGAAAGATAACAGGCACACTACCAGTCCCAAGTCACTTAGTTCATATTCAGGACTTCAGAGTAATTCTGTTTTACACTTAACTTTAAGTAGGACTTAAGTCATGAGTTCTACAAGTTCCATTTTACTTCCAGTTCTTCCTAATCCAAATGATGTTCCTTAAGATCTCAACTTTAATTTGAGTGATGATTTATTTGCATCTGGGTTTGGTGAGTCTTGTGCTTCGATTTTTTTCTTCATAGTCCAGCAGAGCTACCGGTAGTTCAGCCTTTCTTCTTGTTTCTCAGTCTTTTCTTCTGGATAAGTACAAGTCTTCAGGAAAAAGTGACTGACTATGGTGTTTATTTTTCTGATTTATCCTCCTGTATTTTGGCATGTAATTTCATACTGCTTTGTTTCTTTGGTTTTTATTGTGAAGGTTTTTTGTTGGTTTTAATAGGATTGATCTGATCTGCCATTACCATATATGGAACCCTTATCCTCTTTTCTTTTCTTTTTAATTTTTGAGATTTGATTTCAAGATCTTTCTACTTCCAGCCAAAATTGTGTGTTTTAACTTGTCATACATTAGTTTAAAATTTTTCAATCAAATTGGCCTCTACAGCATAAGATGCCAAGGTAATTAAAATTTAGAAAATATTTTCAAATATTTTTTTTAAGTATTAAGTTTCAAATGTAAACGAACATGCACTTGAAATATTAACTATTTGTACATGGCTTATTAAAAAAAAAAAAAAAAGCTTAATTTATTTGTCACAGGTTCAATTCTCCAGAATGTGGCCCACCAGAATTGCACCATGGTGGGTTGAAATGGTTGGGCCTTTATCTCCACACCTTGCTAGGCCCCAGGGAGGATGTGATGTTGGAAAAGTGACTGTTAAAGCCTTTACTTCCCCCTCGCTAGGGGCAAAAACTTTTAAAGCTTTTTTTTTTGGCTAATTCTTTTGATATTTAACTCTGTATTTACAAATAACATCTTATATGCTGCCACTTGATTTTTCCATGTTAGGCATTATCCGTTGACTTCCACAGTGAGCGATGTAAATTTGGTTTTTTTCCCACAAATACCCAAGCCCTGCGCCCCCCCATCATTTCACCGATATCTTAGTTTTTGGTAAATAACCATCCTATGTCTGTGTAGTTTCTCAATATTTATCATTAATTCAGCCCCGAACAATCTGCTTGCTTATTGTCAGCACATCTGCATAGGTTCAGAAGTATCAATTTTTTAATTTTTTTTTTTTAAATCAGTTTAACTATCGCTGAGAAATTTCTCCTAGAACATTCTGATCTGCAGTTTAGGCTGGCTCCTTGATGTGGTTACCCCTCATGCAACCTCTCTCTATTCTGTGATACATCCTGTATCCCATGTAATTCTTCGTTTTATGTTAATTTTTGCATCTCTGAGTTTTCTTTGAGGATCTGTTTTCTTTTGCTTAAGTACATGCTTCAGAATTTCTTTAACGTAGGTTATCATCATTAAAAGATTAATGGTTATCCATTAAGGTTAATGATTATCCTCATATTATTTGGTCACAATCTCCAGTAGCCATCTGAGAGGCGAATGGTCTGAGGCGTTATGTTCTGTATGTAAATATCTTTAGATTACCCTAACTTAGTTTGGATGTAGGATTTTAAGTTGGAAATGTTTTTCTTCAGAATTGCAAAGGAATTCTTAGTGTCTGATATAAAATCTGAAGCCACTCTTATTTTCAACACTTTGCATTTCACTCTTTTCTTCTTTATGGAAGCTTCTGCACCCTATTTTTGTTTGAAGCTTAAAGAATGTTCTTTGTTGTTCCCAGTGTTCTGAAATGTCACAGTGTTTGTTGTGAGGTGACTTTGCTGTGCATTTCATGGGTTCTTTCTGTCTGGCAACTTGTTTTCCTTACCTCTGAGAAAGTTTCTGATACTTGTCCTGTAATATCCTTACCTCTATTTTTGGTTCTGAAGCTGCAATTAGATATTACACTCTTAGAGCTGTTTCTTTTCTCCCATTTTTAAAATCATCTTCCAGTCTTGCTTTACAGTTTTTTGGAAACTTGCTTGATTTTTTAAACATTTGAGACTTTAATTTTTGTTGTTATATTTTTAATTTCCAATACCTTTTTTGATCTCTGCATTTTTAAAATGGCATCCTGATATTTTTTCTCTTTATGGATTTAATTGAAGTTTTGAATGTTTAATTGAGTTAAGCATTTAATTTAATTTTTTGAAGTTTATTTCTCCCTACTTACTTGGTTTTCCCTAAGTTATTCTTTCTGTTAGGATGTTTCAGAGGCTTTCATCTTAGAAGTTTTCCTCAGCTGTCTTGTGATTCTTGGTTGTGTGTTCAAATTTATGTAAAGGGCATCAGGAAGCTATTTCAGGCTGTGAATTTGGCTGAGGCTTGCTAGTTATTAATGGTTCTCACTGGAAGGATTTGTCTGGAGCATATTTGTGGGGGGATCACCGACATCAACTTTTTATTCATTTGAAAGCCTTTTCTCTTGGGCTAATAAGAACCCAGTGAGTAGAATTTTCTAATCTTTTGCCTCTAATCTTTTGCCTTTTCCTGTTAGTGGTTCTCAGCTGTGACAATATGACTCCCAGAAGACATTTGGCAATGTCCAGAGACATTTGATTATCAAGAGTTGCAATTGAGAACTGGTGGATAGATGCTGCAGATGCTGTTGAACAGCGTATAATGCATAAGACAGCCACTCACAGCAAAGCATTAGTTCGAAACGTCATTAGTGCCTATTATGAGAAACCCTGTTCACAGAAGGCATAAGCCTGATTGCCAGGGATTTGAGAACCAGCTGAAAACAGCACAAGAATCACAACATTTGATTTTTTTTTATATGGTATCCTCGCCTTCTGTTGTGTCTGGTATCTCCCAATGTAAAGTCCTTTTCTTACTCTGTAGAATCTCTTGTCTTCTGATGGAGTGGGATAGAGGCTTCCATTTTAATTTTAACTGTTTTAGGAATGTAGATTTTTGAGAGATGGCTTTGTAAATGAATTCTATTGCAAATTAAAATACTGATTATTAAGTGACCTTGTTATGTGTTTATTCTATTTGAACCGGATTGGCTGATGAGACTGTGTTTTATGAAGT